ATTTGGTAATTACAACAATCCCTTTTTTTGTACTATTAACCAAGTAAAAACAGAGTAGACTTCTTAACAGCCTTAAATATTTCAGTCAAGACCAAAGAACAAATAGGAAAGATAAATGAATCATTGGGATTATTCATATTATTGCTTTTGAGGTAACCATGTGACCATGATGTGGCTTCTTTCAAGACATACTAATAAATGCTGTATAATTAAACATTTATTGCTACTTTGTATGCTTTAAAATGTGTGGTGAACACTACTGATATAAATGTTGACAAAGTGCTCTGTAAGATACTATCGTAACAGGTTTTCTCTCTATGGCAGTGAACCTTTAGAAGATGCTGCTCTACAGCCATTCTATAGAATCTATTATTTTAAAACATCCATTACAAGGAATTGTTATATATCTAATTGTGAAGGGCTAGTCCTCATGCTGATAACTAAATCTGGAGAAAACCCACGTTTACAGAAAATTTGCACATTCTAACCATGAATAGCAGGGAGCTATTACAAAAAGCGAACTACTGGACTACCACAAAGATTCTGTGATGGTTCTGAAGAATGAGCATCCAGGATGAAGAGGACAAGGTGACAGCAATGAACAGGAGGAGGGGGGGAGGGCTGGAACCGAAGGTGAGAAGAAAATCAGAGCTTCCATTACCCACAAGAACCCTATTGTATATTTATAATTTATTGTATTTCTTGCTATCTTTTACACTGTGAATTCACCAGTACTTGATGTGGAAATAGTGCAATGGTTAAATTAGCCATAGTTTATATTTTCAAGGTATTGTTTAGAAATCACACAATGTAGAGAGTCGTTCTGAAGCCACTGTTGCTATAAATTGTGATTGTGTGTGTGAGTGTGTGAATGCAATGGAGTTCCCCTGCGCGATGATCTGTCCCTGGAGCCAAATGGATCTGAATGGCTTTCTGATGGCTCTAGGGGATTTTTCTGTTAATATAGTTGTGCTACTGTTGATGCCTTGGTTGACATCTGGAATGATGAGAGGATCTGGGTGGTTGATGCAATTGCTCCTAGGTGCCCTCTTTCAAGAGTTAGATCTTCTTTGTTTACTGAGGGCTGTGGGCAATGAAAAGATGAGGGAGACAGCTAGAGAGACAGTGGAGGAAGACTTGGGACAAATCTGATAAGGCCCAGGCTAAATTTCATTTTAAAGTGTACACTATGTACTATTTTTGGGCAGGAACGCACAGGAACAGAGTTCCAGCTGGCTCCCAAGCTGGCCACGCCCAGCAGGAACTCATTAGCATAATAGGCCACACCCAACAGCAGAAACTCATTAGGACTGGCTACATTAGGGGTGTGTGGCCTAACATGCAAAGGAGTTCCTGCTACAAAAAAAGGCCCTGGGTTTTGACAACAAACAAGGTAAACAGAATAACAAGCAAAAGGTGGGTGTGGCTGGATGACCACACTTCTGGTAACATGTGGGTGCAGCCTAATGTGCTAATGAGCTGTGCTGTCAGGGGTGTGGCCTATTATGCTAATGAGTTCCTGCTGGGCTTTTTCTACAAAAAGAGCCCTGAATGGCAATTATGGTGGCAAAGAAACATTTTCCTGCTTCGATTGTGTCTGAACAGTGTAGGCCAGCACAGCTGTTCCAGATGGTCAGAAGCCTGTTGGGATCTGGCTTGCAGATGGACTGCTTGGTGGCCCACTAGTGAATGTTTTGTTCAACAGCTGGCAGATAAAATCTCTCATATCTATACCAACCTGGACATTAGCAGTAACAGGGCCAGATGGTGCCAGAGTGCCTGTTAGGGATACTTTTCAGTTTAATCAGTCTAGACAGGGTCCTTGGAGGCTTGAGGCCTACCACCAGCTTGTATGAGCCTTGCCCTTTCTAGCTAAATAAATTTGCTGTGGGAGAGGCTGACTGGGTCTGAAAGTTATTAATGCCCCCTTGAGGGGGGGGGGGATTGTCATAGCTTTGCCACAGGCTGTGGTGCATCTGCTATCCTGGATCCAGGAGATTACAGTAACTATCAACCAGTCTCAAATATTCCATTATTGGGCAAGGTAATTGAATAGATGGTAGGGTTGCCAGCCTCCAGGTGTGGCCTGGAGATCTTCCACTATTACAGCTTATCTCCAGATGACAGAGATCAGTTTCCCTAGACAACATGGTTGCTTTGGAGGGTGGACTCTATGATATTATATTCTACTGAAGTCCCCTCCCCAGTTTCCACCCCCAACTCTCCAGGAATTTTCCAGTCCAGAATTGGCAACCATAATGGGTGTTGGCTGGGCAACTTCATGTGTTCTTAGAAGAAGTGGATTGTTGGAATCCTTTCTTATATTGCCAGCTCCAGCTTGAGAAACTCCTGGGGATTTGGGGGGGATAGAGGCTGGGGAGGGCAGAGTTTGAGGAGGGGAGGAACCTCAGCAGGGTATAATGTCATATAGTCCAGTCTTCAAAGCAGCCATTTTCTTCAGGGAAACTGAACTCTGTAATCCGGAGGTCAATTGTAGTTCCAAATCACATGGCCCCAGCTGCAGGTTGGCTACCCTAACGATGGATACAGTCCTGGAAAGTACCATTCAAACTGGATGATAAATAAACAATTTGACAATAATATCTTCCCTCCAAAATATGCTTCCAGTGGAACCAACAGAAAAAACCCCGAACATAATAAAAGAATGACTTTTTTTAAAAAAACAACGGAAACAAAATGCACATCGAAATTCTGACCAGCAGAAGTGTTCCCATCCCCAAATCTTGAGATGATTATAGTTGCAGATGCCTGAAGATGAACCTGGCACCTTGTTCAGGCAAGTATTTCATTTGTGAGCTATGGTTTCTCCCCAGCTTTTGATTCTCCCTCCACATGCAACCAGTACGCGCACTGTGACCAAAGATAACTCTGGATTCCCAAACAGTACTCAAGGTTGGGTGGTAAATCAGGGTGATTTATGTTTTTACATCCTGCCTGTGGTTTTGATGTTATCTATTGCTTTTTTTGCTGTTGCTGTTAATGCTGCTGCTTTTAAATACTGTTTGTATAATCTGTTTCCTGGCATAACTCAAATGGGCAAAAACCTGATCTCTATCCTGATTCTGAGTACATGGTCTTTGTGCTCTTCTTTCACCTTGAAGCTGTCTCTCCTGGGTGGTGTAAGAATACCAAGCCCCATGTTGCAATGAGATACAGAGAATTAGGGCCCAAGGGGAAAGAAAGAAACAGCATTTATAGTTAGTGGTAAATTGCCAGCCTTTGTTTTTCCCACAGGGCTTCAATTACTGCGTGAAACTCATAATGAAGTTCATTGCTTGAAACTCAACAGGAATGCTTTTTCTGTCAAATTCATGTTTGATGTGCTGCCACTTTCCAAATGGGTAACTAGGGCTGCGGTCACACGGAACATTAGCCATGCGAGTCAGACGGAAGACATGCGGGTTTTCGGGGCGCGATCTCACCGGCACATCTGGGAAGTGTAGCACTCCCGTGGCTCAAACGAGGCTTCCTGCCGAAACCACGCGGCAAAAAACTAGTACCTCCGAGGTACTAGTTTACGGAAACCGCGGGGCAAGGGCGGGCGTCTGATCGCGTTTCCGGTGGCATCCGGCGCCCGCCCATGTTCCCTGGCGAAAAAGTTTTTTTTTTCCTTCAAGTCTTTGTGGATGCGCAAAAGCACACAACGGAGCATGCGCAGTCATGGTGTAAACAAAAATAAAACCTTCCAGTTTGCCGCACCGCGCACTTCGTTTTTGCGCGTGGGATTGTCCTGCGATCGGCACCTCTCCTTTCCCACGGAACCTCCACAGTACCTCCACGGGAGGTCTGATCAGGTAACCGCGCCTTAGTTTGCCCCGGGGCAAACTGCCACACTTCCCCCCCGCGGTTTCCTGCCCGTGTGACCGGGACCTGTGTTAGTCTGTTACAGTGCAATCCTAAAAGCACTTTCCTGGGAATAAGCCCCATTGAATTTAGTAGAATTCAGAGTAGACCTGTTTAGGATTGCTTTCATAGTGCTAATCTGTTCCCTGGAAGTTTATGGCACAAGAAATCATTTGGGTAGACTTTCTTCTTCTGTTGCCCTGAAGCAGTTAAAAAAAGAGCTTCTACAAAACCAGCAATTGGGGGGCGAGTACAAGTGAATTCACACTTGCCAGTTACCAGTAGTGCCTGACTGCAATGCCCAGTGTAGAGTATAGTAAATTCTCTGGGGAAGTGGTGTATACAGTTTCAAAGTACATAATTCTAAATAAATAGCTGGAACCTATCGAAACCGTTTCAGAAAGTAGCCCCCATTGATCTGCGGTTAGAACAGTTAGATTCGAGTCCCCTGGCACCTTAGAGACCAATAAGTGTTCCGAGGTATAAGCTTGCCGGGCCAGGTCAAATCTCCGTAGGTCAGTATCCTGAAACTCTACGGTGCTACTGGCTTCGGATCTAAGGTATCAAAACAGTATAGCAGCAGCTACAGCATAACGCTTTCAAGATCAGTTCAAGGGATAAATACATTCCGTGAGGTGTGTGTGTGTGCGCGCGCGGATATGAACGAACCCTCAGTCCCCTGCCCAGAAAGAAGGAGCTGGATGGCGTCAAGCGCTCGCCGGTCACTGAACCGTCTCTCACTGGCCACAGATAAATCAGCAGAGGAGTGCCTGTGGAGAGACTCGCGCGCCCAAGCTGGGAGCCAGAGGCTGACAAGGGGATGAACTTGACGTCGGAAGAAAAGCGGCGAAGACCGAATGGGCGGGGCTACAGCTAATTGTAGAAGCGCGCGAAGAGAGGAGCAGAAGCGCGCAGGAGTCCCGACGACAGCTCGGCAGGCTGGACGCTGGGAGCGGGAAGGCGGGAAACTCGCGTGAGGGCAGCCGGGGAAGGTCCGCTTTCAGAGCGGAAGGCGGGAAGGGCAGTGACGAAGCCTTCCCCTCCCTCTCACCTCTGGCTGCCCTCGAAGTAGACAAAACAAGAGCCCGGCTCCGAGTTGCGCGCAGCGACAGGGCGTCGTGGAGGGAGGCGTCGCCATGCGCTTCGGCGACGGTCCCGGCGGTTCCCCGTGGGCAGCCCCGCCGTCGCCGTGGAACCAGAGCCAGGGACGTTTCGGGGAGGCGGCGGACGGCGAAGCCCCGGCGGAGGAGGTGCCGCCGCGCTCGGTCCGCGGCACGAACGAGAGCAGCAGCCACTTCTACGGGCGGAACGAGGAGCTGGCCAAGCTGGAGATCGCCCTGCTGGCGCTGACGTTCGCCTTGGCCGTGCTGGGCAACTCCTTGGTGCTGCTGGCGCTCCACCGCACGCCGCGCAAGAAGACCTCCCGCATGCACCTCTTCATCCGGCACCTCAGCCTGGCCGACCTGGCCGTGGCCTTCTTCCAGATCCTGCCGCAGCTCTGCTGGGACGTGACGTACCGCTTCCAGGGGCCCGACGGGCTGTGCCGCGTGGTGAAGCACCTGCAGGTCTTCGGCATGTTCGCCTCGGCGTACATGCTGGTGGTGATGACGGCCGACCGCTACATCGCCGTCTGCCACCCGCTCAAGACGCTCCAGCAGCCGGCCCGGCGCTCGCGCTGCATGATCGCGGCCGCCTGGGCGCTCAGCTTCCTGCTCAGCCTGCCGCAGTACTTCATCTTCTCGCTCAGCGAGGTGGAGAGCGGCTCGCAGGTCTACGACTGCTGGGCGCACTTCGTCCAGCCCTGGGGCGCCCGCGCCTACATCACCTGGATCACCAGCGGCATCTTCGTGGCGCCCGTCGTCGTCCTGGCCACCTGCTACGGCTTCATCTGCTACCACATCTGGAGCAATGTCCGCGACAAGACCCGCCAGCAGAGGGCGGAGGCGCCGCCGCCGCCGCCCCCCTCCCGAGGGGGCGCCCTCCACCAAGGGCTGCTCCGCGCGCCCTGCGTCAGCAGCGTCAAGAACATCTCCCGCGCCAAGATCCGCACCGTCAAGATGACCTTCGTGATCGTCTCGGTTTACATCGTCTGCTGGGCGCCTTTCTTCACCGTCCAGATGTGGTCCGTCTGGGACTGGCACTGGCACTCCTCCTGGACGGGTAGGTAGTGTGTGCAGTTGCGCTCGCGGCTCTCTCCCATCTCCCGCGTTTGGCTGCTCCATGCGCATCCCGGAGTGACTCCCGATTCACCTCCCCGACCAACAAAACTACCCTACTGGCTCGAAATGGGATGGGATGTGCAGCCCTCGTCTATAGTCTGGTGTTGCCTTCTTAAATAATAGGAGAGGCAACTCAGTTTCAGGAAAAGCAGCATTCTTACAGGAAGTTTGGGATCCTGCACCTCCCCAAACTGAAAGCCCTTTATATGGAAATGACATGTAGCCTGGTCTTAAGCATTTTCCAGAGAGGTTTATTCCTGAGTAAATGTGCATAAAATTGCAGCCTGAATTGTTTAGGATCACAACCCCAAAATCTATGGGTAAAATGGCATCTAAATAGATATGGTTGGAATTACAGCTTTGAAACCTAAATGCAATAATTTACAAGTCTCACATTAGTTTAGTTGGACTTACTTAAGAGTAAATCCATACTCACTTGTGGTGTTAACATTTCCAAATGAAAAATCATTACAAGGAGGTGGAGGTTTTGAGGTCCCTGGAAGAATAGCCCTGCATGAACAGAATGTTTTGTGGGTTCTTTTGTCTTGTTTTGCAGAATGACACTTGGGTGACAAACACATAGTTCTGATGAGAAGTTTATTCTGTTCACTGAGTTCTGGCTCATGAAAGCTGTTGCTGGAATAAATTTAGTTAGATTCTAAGGTGCCATTGGGCTCCTGTTTTATTTTGTTCTGTAGTGAGAAGAAATTGAATTTTTAGTATTTGAGCTTTTGCTCTGTGGGAATAACTGCCAACACATGGTGGTAATATAAAGGAACCAGTTGAAAAAGTAAGGAGAGTCCACCCTTTCCTCTCTAATTGTGAATAGAATTCACAGGTTGCTCTGAAGACTGTTGCTTGTGTAAGCAGCCTTATCTGTGAATAACTGGGCATTTTTCCCTATAGATTTTTTTGTAATGTTTCACTGAAGTCAATAACAGTGATGTTCCACTCAAGTAGTCTAGTAGGTATGCAGATTTCCATAGAGCTAGAAGACACCAAAAGCATATTTCCCTAATTCTGCGTCTTCAGACAGCAGCTTGCTATGAGTTATAACTCAAAGAGGTGTTTCATTCAGCTATTGTTTTAAATAAAGAATCTTTAGTCTCTGTTCCTTTTGATTAGTGCTTTCTTGTATACAACCCCAAACAACTAGTAAGAGTTTTAGAGTCTAATGATATATCACATTTTCGAAAGAGTTGAAGCCAACTAATGTCAAATTGTAAGAAAAAGCAAATCTGATATGTATAATTTTTTTTAAAACCCTGTGACTTGCCAATTACCATGTTTATTTTGGGGAACCTAGCATATTTTTACTAAAATTGCCTTCAAATGTTTCCCTGGTTTATATTTAAAACATGCACGTAATGGTAGTTGAAATGCCATAGCCCACATGGTCACTTACAGTGCAATATTAAACAGAATTACACCATTCTGATTCCATTGAAGTAAATTAATTTAGCATAGTGTAAGCTTGTTTAGGACTGAACCGTGGCCCCGGTCACACGGCAAAGTTGCCGCGGGAGAGGCACGGATGGTGGGCGGATTATCCGGGCGCGATCACACCCCAACATCTGGTAAGTGGAGCGCACCCGTGGCTTACCGCCGACAATGCACGTTAAAAAACTAGGACCTCCAAGGTACTAGTAAACGTTTGCCACGGGCTGCCTCCAGACGCTGGTGGTGTGATCGCACCGGCGTGCAGCATTCCCCTCCGGTCCCTCGTTTACCCACCGGCACCGAGGGAAGGACCCGTGGTGTGCCGCCGGCACGTCTGACTGTGTAATCGCGGATCAAACTGCGTTGGGGCAATTAGCCACGCCTCCCCCCCACAATATCCGGCCCATGTGACCAGGGCCCGTTTCCCCCCCCCCCACCGTCTGCTCTAGGTATTTGGATCTGCTTTAATGTACAGTGTTATAGTAAAGCCAAAATATCTGTTTTGTAATATCTACCAAAATATTTAACTGGAGATAGAAAGCATTTCACTCCGAGCTGGGTAGCCTGGGGTAATCCAATCTCATTAGATATTGAAAGCTAAGCAGGGTCAGCTCTGGTTAGAATTTGGATGGGAAACCACCGAGAAAGTACAAGATTGCAGCACAGAGCCAGGCAATGGCAAACCACCTCTGAATGTCTCTTTCTTTGAAAACTCTATGGGGTTTTCATAATTCAACTGCAATTTGCTGGCAAAAGAGGGGGGTTAAATCCAAATACTGATCACTGCAATAAATACAATACAGGTTTGTTATTTAAAATGTAATTGTTTAGAAATTTTAAAAATGACAAGCTTACTTAGGCAATTGCCTTGCTTGGTTATAGTGTAGTTCTCAAGCAGGGCTTAAAATAAACATACCAATTTGGAACTCCTGTATATCAGACTATTTAAAATGTCCAATGTACGGCAAGTAATCTGGCCTGAATTCATAAATATGTCTGGGTTTGCAGAATTAAATAGAATTAAAAAATACCATGGTCATACATATCTAATATCCACTGTTTTACAAGTTAGCTAGCTCCTAAAATGGAGTTTTGCCCTTTTAAAATCACAATCACTGTGTAAAACAAACTCAGGATGATAATAAGGTATAGTCTTATTTATTTGTTTGTCTTTATCTTGGCAACTACTGTTTCTAATAGTAAATTAGCTGGCCTCTGCTTCAAAAGCAACAAATCCAGACCACCCACAGAGAGTATAGAGCAGTGATGGCGAACCTTTTAGAGACCAAGCGCCCAGACTGCGACCCAAAACCCACTTATTTATCGCAAAGTGCCAACACGGCAATTTAACCTGAATACTGAGGTTTTTCTTTAGAAAAAATAACTCATACATTAACTTAAGATGATCCAAACAAAGTAAGGAAAGCAATCCCAAATGCTTTCATTTACTTAAAATTATTTGGCAGAGAATTCCACACTTTAATGACGGTCTAGGCCTGGCTGGGGCAATGGCACGCGTGCCCACAGAGAGGGCTTTGAGTGCCACCTCTGGCACCCGTGCCATAGGTTCGCCACCACTGGTATAGAGGCTTCTTCCAGCTTGGAGGACTCTCCAGGTATACAAAAAACAGTATTTCTTATATTTATAAACATTCTGATGAGAACTAGATGACCTCCAGAAGGGATTTAATGTTTAGAGCATCAGAAACAAGGGGGGAAAGTGGGGAGGAGAATAATGTTCAAGCCACTGAGACCCTAGAGCAGGGGTGTCAAACATAAGGCCCCAAGGGCTGGAAGCGGCCTGCCCAGGGCTCTTATATGGCCCGTGAGCAGCTACTGCAAGGGAGGGAACAGAAGACTACCTGGGGGGGAGGGGGGAGTCACTCCTATTGTGGCTTCAGCATGGCAGAACAACCTCATCTGCAGCAGCAGTCAAGCAGCATGGGAGTGTCTGCCCAGTGCTGCACCGCTGGCTCTCCAATCTGCACATACGGGTTTTCCTTTGCAATGGGGCCTTACAGTGAGGATACACAAACCTGGAGCTTACCAGCTGTTGTCCTTTATACAGTTTATATCTCCGGTACCTGGCATTATGTTTATGGCACACATGGCCTGGCCCGACAAAGTGAAATTTATGTCAGATCCGGCCCTCATTACAAATGCGTCCAACACCCCTGCCCTAGAGAATTCTAGAGGAAAAGTTTTTCAAGGTAGGAGAGTGAACTTCCAAATTGTCCACCCACAATCTCTCATGGGTCCAAACTTGTGTTTATAGCCTTCCAACACACTCAAGACAGCATTTATGTAGTGGTAGTCTACATCCAATATGGAACAAACAAGAAATATCTTCCAGGACACAAGATGGCATAAAAACTACTCTTAAGAGAAAAGATCATAAAATTAAAATGGAGCAACAGAGAATTGAACTGATGTGTGGCTTAACATTAAGAAGCAAAAAGAATGAACCACTAGGAAAAACAAATTAAAATCAGGCCATGCAAAAAGAAGATGAAAAATTATAATGTGGTAGCGTGACATTTACAATATATTGCATGTGGCAGTGAAGCACATCCACCTACTCAAGGAGAAACCCATTAGACTTCTGGTAGGCAAGAAAAAGATATAAATTTAGTGGGCTTTAAAATTTAAATAAGAACGTCAAGAACTAGAGTATGGGGAGCCTGATAGGGGTCGTCTGAGGATTGAGATGAAGAACATAGTAGAAGAGCTAAAGTGTCAGATTCAAGAGAACTTTTCTCAATATAGAGAGGCAATGCACTGGGAAAGAAGAACTTGAGGGAAGAAGCAATGAAGGAAGCTTGAAGGAGGAGGCAAGGCACAGAGGCAGCTCAGGCATGCAAGAACTTTGAGGTGATGCCGTGGAGAGAATGGTTATTAACAGAAATGCTAGGAGGCTTGAAGTAAACTAAGGAAAAGTGGAACTGAAACAAAACTTCCCATTGGTTTTGGCACAGAAAACCAAGAACCTCCAAAGAGACCAGCTGGCATGATCCTTCTCTTCCCTACCACGTATAAAACTGGTGATTGACAACAATGTGTCCTCAGGAGGAAAAGTGCAGTCTTTCTCCACAGTGGGGACCAAAGCAGCTTACATCATTCTCCTCTCCCCATTTAGATCTGCACAACAACCCTGTGAAGTAGGTTAGGCTGAAAGTCTTTGACTGGTTTGAAATCACCCTGGTAATTTCACCATTGAAGAGAATGGTTTGACGGCCACTGGCTCACCTCAGTAGTCAGCCATGCCAAGCAGGAGACATGACCTTGTCAGGATAGACAGCTGTTTTGGCAGTTTATTCTGCCAGGGAACAGTGGCCAGGCTGGCAGTGGGCAAGGGAGAGGAGCAGACCCAGCCCCCAGCCAGTGGCATGTGAGTACTCTTGAGTGGCAGTTGATGGGCCAATGGCTGAGTGCACAGCACAGCCAATGGGAGAGCCGGAAAGTGCCAGTACGTTGGGCTGTTATATATATAGGATGATTCTT